TGGGTATAATATATATACTTCATGTCATGTGTCATATACACATAGTAAAGTGTATGTCTGGCTATATACCAAAATATTTTCTTTCAGAACAGTGAAACACGGGGCAATGTTATTTTTTATCATTTTCTAAATTTTCTATTATGCATATGTCATCTTTTATAAGTAGAAAAGCAGTAAAGTTATTATTGCATAAAGATTACTCTATTGTGACTATTAGTGGATCAACATTGCAAGTAAACAAAGGCATTCTAAACTTACTACTAATGCACCTTTAAAATGTACACAACACATGTACACATGCATATAAATGTGTCTGTATGGATATATGAATATTTGTGCTTATATATCCATATCCCTACAAAAAACAATATGTGCACTTGCCAATTTGTTTTTGGCTAAATGTCATCTTAGACTACGTTTACTTACTTTGATTCTGAGTATTTGTTGAGAAGAATCAAGATGTTGTAAGATGACATCTTAAATTGTTGTCTAGATAAATTTATATCGTAAGATATATATACCACATTCTGAACATCTACATTTAGTAAGAGACACTATTGATATAGACGGATGATAGATAGATATATCTCTTGTGGAAAAAGTAAGTTAGTGGAATATTGTTTGGTAAAAGTAAATTATAAATATAAAATAACTAACTTTTGAGAACCTATTGTTTTTCCTGATGCTTAATATAAATTATTTTCTTTAAGTTTCACTCTGCAAGATAGGTATTAGTATCTCTATTTTGTGGGTGCAGAAACCAAATTCATTAAGTATCACACTCAAGATCGCACAGCTAATATATCAGCTAGGATATGGTGGTGGTGGAATTTGAATCCAGTTCTCACTATAAATATCATGTTCTTTCTACTATCTACAGGGCTTCATAAGAAGACTCTGCCTCAAATAATACCTTTCGGGGTCAACTTCAATAATGGAGGACTTGATGTAACTAATATTTATTGATTATATACTACATCCAGGTATTCTCACAGATACTTTAAGTTTCTTTTCATTAAAATCCATCAAGTGTCCTAATTTTTAAAATATTGTATTTTTAATGATATGTGCATTTTTAATATTCTAATATTCTCTGAACATAAAACAAGTGTCAGTAGTATACAGTTTCCACCTGAAATAAAAGTTATAACTTTCAATAAAGAAAAATGTAATTAAGTCATAATACTTTTAAGCTAAAAGAATTCTCTGAGTTTGACTAATACAGCTCCTATATGTTATAATTGAAATAATAAAGAGGTCCAGACAGGGGAAGTGTTTGGTTTAGGGTCACACAGCTTATTAGTGGAAGAGTCCAGACTAGAATTTAGGTTTCCAGATTCTCTGTGCAATACTCTTTCCAATGCCTCCTCTCCAAAGCTGATAACTGTTTAATTATTAGCTATATCTGGCCTTGTTCCCAAAGACATTTGAAACAATTTCAAAAGTATGTACGGAACAAGGTTAAAACTCAAGTTAAGAAATCAAGAAATAGGGAAACTATAAATATGAAAAATAAGATGAATACAAAATACTTGCAACAAATTCCTATATGTTTGCTTCATTGCCAATTTGCTTGCTCACAGAAATAATACAAAAAAAAAGGATATTTTAAGCCTACTTTTTAAAAGATAGAAAAAAACAATAGAGAAAAGAATAAGAAATCTAAAAGTTTATAGAAGTGTTTCCATTTTCTGTCACTTGCTGTTATATGATGCATTTCTTTCAGGTAGAAGTTAGCCTTTAGACCTTTCTCCTCCTCGGTGGTCTTTTTCTGGCATGGAATTAATGTTTGCAGAAAACACAAATGCTGAAATTAATTGCTTCATGTAAAGAGTACTAATATAATTCGTACCTATTAAATAAATAGCCAGCACAGAGAAGTTTACCATTTTTTAGAAGCCAAAAGGAAATCTGCTTACCTCTGATTACAAAGCTGACATGCAAAGCAGTCCAGGTGGTAAACATTGTCCTTGGCACGCATCACCATCTCAAAGGCAGGGATGAGCTTACTACAGGCAGCACAGTTTCCCGTTACACCAAAGAGCCTAGAACAATAAATACTTTTTTTTCATCTAGAACGATAAACATTTTTTTTTCAGATTCTTACAGGGACATCTGAGATTGTGAAGAGAGAAGACACTAATATGCCCTGTAAAGCTATCAATACACAATGCCTCATGATGTACACAAGTGTGCTTTATCCTAGGTTTATATATAAATATTCTTCTGCAATACATTATCCGTTGACCTTCCTTGATGAAAATCACATCTTGTTTGAGAAGAAAAAGATAAATGCATTAGGAAGCTTACATAACTGCACACAAACATAAGTCATCGGGGGTGAATTCATAGCAAAAATCTCTACGTGTTAGAATACACACTAAATATAAAACCAATGTAACTTTGATCTTAATGTTACATATTAAACACTTTAGTTGGAAAAGGAACCAATTAATGAATGACTCACTATTTTTTGACATCTAGTTACTAAAAGGTTTGCCATTATTATTAAAAGTACATTTATGAACAAGCCATTTAAGTAGTCAAAAACACGGAGGTGCATGTACTTATGGCCTTATGCCATAGTTATAGTTATGATTATGTTATTCAAGTAGCACATTAAAGTAAATGAGGCTGTAAACTATATATAGCTAGACTAGGAGTTGAAACGTAATATACTATCAGAACCATTCGAATTGTCTAGGAGTTTTAAAAAATCCTATTTGCTGTAGATTCCTGAAAATCATTATAGTAATGACCTAAAAAACAGTACAAAATAAAATGTCTCTATCATTTCATAATGGGAGGAAATAAAATATTTTATCCATTTGCACTGGCAATATTTAAACCAAGTTTCTTTAAAGTCGTTAACGGTGGTGAAGAATTATTATAAATAATATTCTATGCATAGTAGTTAATGCACTTTTTAACTAGGAAGCAAACTAGATGAAAAACACCACATCTGCCAGTTTTCTTTTTTCTCCAGCATCAGGCTGACAGGAG